AGATTTTAATTTTTTAATATTTTTTATTGTTGATTGATTTTTTCTAAATTATTTCAATTGTTCTGATTATGTTTGGATGGAATGAAATGTTAGCAACAGAATAAAAATTTCAACATGCAATTAGTTTTTGTATATTCTTATCTTAAATAGCATTTCATCTATAACACTTATGTTTATTTTATTCTATGTAAAACATATATTCCTGAAGTGTAAGTGACTTAGATTTACTCCTACAAATGTTAAAAAGAAAAAAAATTCTTTATTATCATTTTAGCAGCTTCATATCTTCCACTTTTCCTCGCCCAACCTTGAATCTTTCCGCCATCCTGGCTCAATTTGAAAATCCACAGTGTAAAAGGGGTAGCTGACTGAAGCATAGCATAATTTGAATTTAGTCATGCTCAAATCTGAGCATTTTCCATTTAAGAAATGCCTTCTCTGCTTTATTTTTTTTCTAAAAGAATTAGACAGTAAAATATGTTAAATGTGATTATGTTTAAATTATAAATCACTCCTCCTACAGAACAAACAAAAAAAAATGGAATAAAAATTGAAAGAAACATGTGAAAGAGGTTGTCAGGTAACAATTTTTGTAAAAAATAAAGAAAGGAAATTATTTTTCAAAATGGCCAGTTTAAAGATGTAATAAATGAAACTTCTAAATTCCTGCCAAAATCTTTGCCTAAATTAACTCATAAAAACTAAAGGCAAAGCATTAAAGTTTAATGGCTGAGTGCAGTTCTCAGATATGATTTGTGTGATTTTATTTGTTTGATGAGGTTTTGTTCTTTATACCAGAATTTTCCACTTGAAGTTTTCTAGATTTTCTTTTTCTTTCTTTGATTTGGAATTTTCTTTGATGTCTTGTAAAGTTAATTTCTTTCTGCTTGCTTGTTGTATATTAAGGTTGGTCTTGTAATGTCTTATATATTTTGCTGATTGTTTCCTATTTTTTGTTTTGTAGGTTTTTATTTCTTCTGTTTTTTTTTTCCATTGATTTTTGATAGTTAATTAAAAAAAGAAAATACTGTGTGAAGCTTTCGATTTAAAAAAATCATTTTACAGGCTTAACAGTTATATATGTTTTGTTTTATAGTGTTAGGCAGAGCACAAGTTAGCATTTTTTACTCCAAAATAAAAATCATGACTCTCCACAGCTTCCTTTCTTTAACTGTCTATTCAGGTGTAGGCAATCATGATACTGCACACATTCCATTTATTATCTGTGAATTGCTATGCATTCTTGTGAAAGATAATGGAGTTGTTTGCTATTGCCTTTTCCATGCTTTGGAATTCAGAGTTTTCCTTCTCTTAGGTTGCTTGCCACCCAAAGCTAGAGATCACAGCCTATCTTGTTATTGAAACCATAGCTAGGGAGAAAAGAGATGAATTTGAGTCTTTCCCAAGGGTGTCAGTATGAAAATGAATGCAACAAACTAGTCCTGAATTTGAACTTAGCATGCTGAGTTCACTTTCTTCACCTATATGAATTATGCTACCTGCACATCCCAATAATAATATTAATGTCAATAATATAAGGGAATGTAGATGAGTAAAAAATCAATTGTAATTGGCATCTTATCTAATAATAATAATAATAATAATAATACTAATAACAATAATAATAATGGTAATGGTAATATTAACTGTTACCTTATGTGGAAATATTTAGCATTCATTGACTGAGCAGCCAATGTTACTATTGGTTAAAATTTATAAAAATCTTTCTATTAAAACAATTTTTCAGGAAAATAGGTTTCTCAAGTTTACTAACTGTTATTACTCTTTCCAGTATTGACAGGGGCTTCCTTCCTAACATTTTGTTTGAGGTAATGTGGAATGTCAACAATTTGATTATGATCTTCTAGTTACATGTTCTATCCATTTTAGTTGCTGCTGAAAGTCACTAAGTATTGTGGTATCTATTATCTGGTACAGGTCTTTGTTTGTGATTCTGCAGTGCCATTCCATGAAGTTCAAAGAAGGTTGATTAATATTTATGGGGTTCATCTGCTCAAAGACATTTATAATAATTGATCTGAGAAACCAATTGTATAATAATAATATTGACATAGTGCAGAGTTAAAACCTGAAATCGAAAGGTTTATTCTTACTGCACAGGACTAATGCTTGTCAACTAGAAATTACCAAGCACACATACTGAGAAATTGTGTTAAACCAAAATGCAGATTCTGTGATAAATATCCAGAAACAAGTGACCATTTTGCACCAGTTTGCATGGTATTGACACCCACTGAATATAAAACACTGCATGACAGAGTGGGCCAATATCTGCACAGGAAAATCTGCAACACTTACAGAAAGGAAACTGCAAGAAATTGCTAGAACACCACCTAGACCTTGTTATGGAGATAGGATCTGTAATAATTTTATGGGACTTTACAATACACACAGGCAGAACAATCAAAGCTAATCGCCCTGACATCGTGATTAGAAACTGCAAAGACAAAATGTACCTCCTTATTGACATGGCAGTCCCTGCAGACTGCAATGTATCTTTGAAGATCTTCAAAAAAAAAATCAAAATACAATTTTTTTTCTTTTCAAAACTGCTCAGTGTAAAATGTCATTATTCCATTTCTGTCCTTAGGTCTCTGGTTGGGACCCTGAAAGAAATGAACATACACCAGAAAAAAAGAAATAAAAGGATATTAAATATAATATACCACAAAAATACCAATACAACTAGTGTAAATAGATCAAGTGAAATTTACACGAAAGAAATACTGGTCTAAACTAACTCATCATTGTTAATGTCTTTTAATGATTCAGAGTTTTAATGCATTGCGTAGATTTTTTCTTTGTCTTTTAGTTCTCATGTTTTTCTATGTTAATTAATATTTTCTTAACCCTTATTTTTTTCTTACTTGTTATTTATTTTATTTTTTGCACAAAACTTTTTTTCATGGCATATCTTTGTTTAATTCTATGTTTGTTATATTCATGTTTTGCTGAATTTGCTAATTCACTTCTCTACACATACTTAATCTGCTTATAGGTACTTCTCCGAAAATGCTAAAAAATCAACATGCTGGGATGAAAACATGATACAAACGTAATGAAAACCTTCTTTTATTGTAAAATCTTTATTATAAAAGAATAATCATCTGAGTATTATTGAATATTTTAATAAAATGTTTTACTCCTTTTTAGAACATTCGAAATTTTCATTAAAAAACTTGTTTTTCTTGCATCAGCAGTTGTACTAAACATTAGCCTCTTTTTGTGGTGATTGACACATTAGTTTGTAAATTTTTGAAAAAATTAAATAATTGTAGGATTTTAAGGACATTTTCAGAACTTATTCACAAATGAATGAAATTATTAAAAAAATTTTTGTTTCTAGAAAATCTTCGTAAAATATTTTTTTTACATATTTTACCTCCCACACACTTACTTAATTTTATAAAATCTTGAGAGATTTAACATGATAATTTGTAGTGACTATATTAGTTAAAAGCAAAATCCATTGAAGAATTTAAATCACTGATTCCTTTTTTTCAACATCAGACCTTGTCTTACTGAAAATCTGTTCTGAATCAAAAAATAAAGAACGCAATAAAACTAAGACATTATTTAATTAGAGAAGCTTTTAATTACTTTTATGAATAATATATATTAAAGACAATATTGTCTGAAGAAAAATTTTTTTTTTGATTTTTAAAGATTTGTTTCATTTTTTACAATTTTGTTGTAACCTAGGAAAGGTTACTGAAGAGAATAATCAAACAAAGGTTGGTAATGAACAATAATACGTAGGACACGAACAACACATATAAGATTCACCAGTGGCGTGTAGAAAAGTAGTCAACTGCTAGATGTGAGTCAAGTGTGTCAAGTGTGTACAGGTTTATGTGTAAGTGTACAGGTTTATTGAATGCTACAAACAAGGTTTGTTTTAACAATTTTTCTTCAGTACATATAAATTGTCTGTATAGACATGTTCTTATGCTTCAACCATCATTGATTATTTTTAAGAGCAGAACTTAAATGTATTATAGTTTTGTAATTCCACAAAACTATGATATATTTGTTTTTCCTCATTGTATTTAATGTTAAGAATGTTTTGGGTATAATGCAGATACCTGTTCTTGAATTGATCAAGTGATACTGGAAAGTCCTATAATATATATGTACAAACAATTTCTACATCTGCTGGAACAAAACATTTATTTTGTATAAAAATAAGAGAAAATTAGAAAAGAAAAAAAATGTTAAAAGAAAGGATTTATTTTGTACAAGTATTTTCAAACATCATTTTTCTCATTGACAGACATATTTGAAAAGGGAATATTTATTCCATATAGTGAAAATTATACATTGAACATTTCAGATCAAAATTCAGCTCAGAATTGTGTCAGACTATGGAGTTATTGACATACCTTCATATATATTTAAATGATTATTGTATAATCGGTCATAAAATGTATAGATTTGCCTCCAAAATATAGTTGAAAAAGTACTATATGCATTATACAACAAAGATTATTGTTTGGGGCTAGCTTCAGATTCAGATGACTGATACCCACATACCCCTATTTGTATGAATGTCTCTTTGTTTTATTCTAGATAGCTTTATGGGCCATCTATGATCTCATAAGCCATATAATCTTATGCACAGAAAATATGATGCATCTATTGAATTTATTTAGAACATATAATTGGCATCAAGTTGGGATATAATGAAAGTTTATTGGGTTTCATTAATCTGTTGAACCATGAGACCTGGCCACTTGCCAATATATTTCCCCTGGATATTTGGGGTAAATTTCACTATTTCAGAACTGTCACAGAACAAATCAGCAGTGGAATGCAGCAGAGGAACAACCTTAGAGTGCTTACATATCATGCTGTATCACTGTTTTTGTATGCCAGTTTTGGTTATACAGACTCATTATATTTTTTGTAATCTGCACAACATTCTTTCAAGATTTTAGCAAATCTTAAAAAAACGGATATTTTAAAACTTTATCTAGGCCTCCCATACAATCACTGAAGTTAAGCAACATCAAGCTGGGTCAGTACCTAGATGGGTGACCGCTTGGGAATATCAGGTGCTGTAACCTTGGATGTGAGGGTGGTATAATGAATAATGGCTCAGAATTGTTAGACAGCCAAGTTCCAATTCCAGTTGGGTTCGTTATCTTTATTTGCACCCAAATAACTTTAGGAGAAGTATGAATCCATCTCTTCTCTCCCCCAGTTATGGATTAATTAGTAAGATGTATCACTAAACCATTATTATCTCAAAAAAAATTCTTACAATCTAAAAATATTTCAGGCTTTAAATAAACTGCAATGGGTTGATCAATCACTTAATCAATATAAAACTATAAATATATACAAAAATATAAAATAAAGGTAGATCAAGGATAAGAAATAACAATTAATCACCGTGAAGTGGTGAATCGAAATATATAACAGCAAGAAAAAAAATGACAAAGAGGGGGCAAACCAGTTATTACTCTTCGCTCTTCATAGTCAATCTAAAGTAAATATAGGTGCAGGTGGGGGAGAGAAAAAAATTACTACAACGGAATCAGCAACATAAATCACAGACAGGTTTCGTTTAGACCAAGCAGCCATTTCTTCTGCCTACAGAGAGAAGGCTGCTTAGACTTAAAGCAGATGGTCTCTCCAGAATTGGTAATCTGAATGTACTTTGCTGATTATGGTGAAAAAGATCTCAGATCGTATTATTTGTTAAATGCTCAGAAGTGTTCCCAAGCATGAGTAAATTTTCACACTGTGCCCGACGGATCTTAGCTGACATGAAACTGATCGATCCTAGTATCCAACCTCTGATTATTTATGTCAGTATATTCAGCATCACATTGACAATTTTAATTATAGATAACAGAACTAATATGATGGTGGGAAGAACGGATGGATTTCAGAATAAGTTGGAAAGTGAAAACAGGCTGTGGATTGGCAGAAAAAAAGGTCGTGGATTTTGCATGAAACTGAGCAAAACCGTAAAGTTTTTATTCACGACACTGGAAAAAAAAAGAAGTTTATCATAACACAAAAACTGGCCCGAATAATCAGAATACTAAAAAGGCACCAGCACGAAACAAGTAGAGCCAATCTTCCCTGTTTAATCGATGAACTCGTGTGGCAGGTTAAACTATGCACCCACCTGGTTAAAAGAACGGTTTGCTCGGTGATCTGTCCGAATCGATGACCATCAAAAATAAAACTGCACTTCTTTGTGGTTGACAGAAAAACAAAGATTGTCAAATCTACGAAAGTTTATGCGATGAAGCCACTATCAGGTATAGGGATATATGTCCAGTGGATCATCGAAAGTGCTTCATTTCTATATCAATCCATTATGAAACATTCTGTTGTCCACCCCGGCAGATTACATGTCTCTAATTAAAAAAGAACTATCTAATAAGTAGATTTATTGTCGAAAAGTAGGCCAGTATAAGACTAGGGTAATGGTTACCGGATTTGTATTGGGAACTCATTTAACCGCCTATTTTCTCTAAAATGGGGAAATAGTAACTGCGAGTCCCGATAGAATGCATGGGGTTTTGATATGATGCTAAACTAAACTAAAGCTTTTAACACCGTCCCTAACTGCTTGATCGTTGAGAGTCGGAAGCCCCCAGTCATTGTCTTTTACAGGAGACCATTATGCCTGGACTGTGGGAAGGCTGGTCACTTTCCTGCTATTTGTCCAGGAAAGAACGGTCCTACTAAAGATCCTTACTCAACTGGATTCTTTGACACGCACCTCAGCCCTGGAAAATGCATTAAAGAAGGTCTGGAATTGAAGGATTTCCGTACGAAGTGTATTTGAGACATGTTTGTCTCCTGATTGGCGCTCATCTTATATGAAGCAACGTCTCACTATAGATGTAGTGAAGTCGTAAGAACAAAAGCGGAAGGGATAGGATTAAACATATTTAATGTATAGTTAATGATTTCAGCCAAGGTCTTGGTAAACCGATTTAAGGCTGTGCTGGATCATCTGATATCCTCGAACAGATACGTGCTGTGAAAGGTAAGATGATCCGAGATAATCTTCATTTGATTCGTATAATCACTAAGAAAGTCGATGGTGAAGCCATTCTGATCAATTTACATCAGTCCAAGGCTTTTTATAGAAATGAACATTTTTTACGAGGCTGTCTTATATTCTGCTGGACTAAAATCATACTTTAACACCTGATTTCGCTTCTTGCATGCCAATAGCAAAGCTATGGCAGACGTAAAGGGGGTAAGATTGAAGTCTTTCATCTATTCGTCAGGGTTGCCCGTTTTCGCACATGATATATGTCCTTGCGCTGGAACCCGCTCATCGTAAGAATCTGGTTCTAATTACGGAATTACGTAACCTGGTGCTATAACCCCTGTCAGGTACTCTGCCTTTGACAACGACATCTCCAAGTATTTAAGGAGCAATGCTGAGATTAAGGCGGCCCGTAAAGAAATTCAGTTGTATGAGGCGGTTGCAGAGGCCAAAATTAACAGTGATAATTCAGTTAGGATCGTGTAGAGTGTTATTCATGATGACGGTCGTCTTCGAGTATAGAATCCAAAGGTTAGCAGTTAATATTTCGAAGACAGTAGAAAAGCGTTGTTCAGGTTAGCAGTGGATATTTTGGTAAAAGGTGGCAGAGCATAGTTCTTTCTTCTGTTTCTCTTCGCCTGACAAGCTGGACTGGACATTCGGGTAGAGTGAACAAAAATGGCTGCCTTTATACACGACGGATTGAATATCCTACGTCTTCTGATTGGTTAACCTTCTATTGGTGGATTATAAAGTGAGTCAAGTCATTTTGACTGGCTCACTATATATATATATACACACAAAAAACTGCAACATAGAGGTTGTCCTCTCCTGGGTCCATTCAGCTTTTGCAAGATACTCAGCATCTGTTTAGTTTCGACTTTTAGCCGGGGAAGAATCCTCTTCACAGTACTTCCACTCCTGTGCATCAGTCTAGCTTCATTTGAGGTCATATGTTTTCCATTGTGTCTCGTGAAATTTGTTATCTCCATCCTTTCAATGGTGGTCTGGGGGTGCTAAATATTAAGACAAGTTAGTATACCTTACCCTTACATCTCGTAGACCCGATGTGAACACAATGATAATGACAGGTACTGAACTTTAAGGAGCGAACATTCGAATCAAGAAGACATATAAGCTGTTTGCCCCGAAACGAGTGACCCTTCTATAATAGTCGTCGACAGGCTCTGAGATTCTTTTCTCGGGTGAAGATTGGCCTCTCTGACACTCGGCCGTTGTCTAGAAAGTTATTATTTCAAGTGTTATTGGGACCGTACAAGTTGATCGATATGCTCGGCCTGATTATCACTTTTTGTGGCCTTTGACAAGGCACCTCTCGCTTAGCTGGTTATACGAGGCGCACTCTGGGGAAAAAGTCTTTTGCCGTGGGGCTGGTTATTTTGCCAGAATGCGTCTATCGCGGTGATATAAAGGAATGTATTGAAAGCCCTTCTTTCAACGCGTGGTCTTACGCCCATTATATAAACTTATAGAGAGTCACATGATTCGCATGATTTATGGGCAGTTTTTTTCTTCTGGAAACTAGCTCTATTTATAGCAACGTGGATCCATCATATTACAAGAAATACCATGTGTTTCTGTGTTTATGACCTAGACAACGCAAATGCTGGAAGTTCACCGAAATATATCTTTCTTCATCTGATTGCATACTTTAAGCATCAGTATAAGGTTACGATCGGGGTGGATAAACACAGTCGGACTTTGGCAAAAGGTGGATAAATGTAGCATGTCTGATGCGAGTTAATGACGTTATTTTGAAGGCATTTTGACGTGACTTGTTAGGACAAAGATTTGTCTAACTCAAGTTAATCTAGGTTTGATTTATTTTTTTAAGCCAAATAGTTTTGTTGGTATTCCACCTGTTTAAGTCTGTTCGAAAAGATAAGTAATTACCGCTGTAGAAAAAAAAAGGATAATTGAATGACGTGACACGGTGTGAGAAAAAATAATGAAACCAAACCTTTTATAATTATAACGGACGAAAAGAGAAAGGATGAAAAGGAAAAATGAAGAAGGCTTACAATCATGGTGTTGCAAAAAAATTATATTTTACGGACTTATCTTGTCATAGAAAAGAAACGTCCTGTTAACAGTTCTTTGAGGTCTTGTAATTTCTTGTTGTTCTGGTGCTGGCGCAGAAATGTCTCGGCGTCCGGAATTCCTGATGATTGAGAAGATATTTCTTCACGTGGAATAGGTGCTACAATCCTGGGTTCCACAGATCTGTTGGTGAAGCTTTTTTCAAAAGCTGTGTGCGTGCTGTGTGCGTTGAAAGCCAACGTGAGAAAGAGGAAGATTCAAGCATAAGTGCGCAGATTGCAACGAAACACGTTCAGTAAGGAACCTTCTGATTTTTTCCTTTTCAGCTTGCCACAGGGGTCGTTGTAATAATGTCAAGGGTCCTGGTCAAATTTGGGGGGGGGACTCCGTAAGACTCGTAATACTTTCAATAGTTTAACAATATGGTCGCTGGTCCTTTTAAATTTTTATTAACCCATATTTCTGTTTCTCACTATTTTCTAGTTGAGTGACAGATAACATTCTCTGGTGATGCAGTAAAGTTCATTTTTTTATTTTTTACATTTTTTATTTATATTTATTTATTTGTTTTACCATAAGAATCATAAAGAAGGGGCACATTCTAAGGAATTCCTCTTCTGAAATTTGCTGTAAATATTATTTTGCACTTTTTTTTATTCACCGGGTATATTTTTAAACTGCAAAAATCAAATCATTTGTTTTATCTCTCTCCCCACATGATTTGTAAATATGGGTATTAGAATTTTTGCTGCGATACTGTGGTGTTCTGGAGATTGTTATATGATGAAAGAAACAATGAAGATTGTTTGCGTCAATAAATACGATTAGTGCAGTTAATGTCAGGATAATAAAGACCAGCATCTCTCATTTCTCCAATTTTCGGCTATGGGTATATGCACAATAGGTAAAAAAGGCTTGCAAATATAACTTATATTTGTGGACTTAACTGTTAAAAGAGTGTCCAAGACACAAATAGAATTT